ACCATCATTCTTTAGCAACAACATAACCTATTTTCTCATACTCCGTGCCTTCAAATGTGTTATTCCTTCCCTGAAATCTCCTTCACTCATGTCACAGCTAGTATTAAGGTTCCTTCAAGACTGAACTCAAACATGGCTTCAGCTGAGATACATTCTCCAGTTTGCCAACCTCGTCCATGTTGGTATCTCTCCTCTGAGTTCCCACGCTGCACACATCATTCTGTGGGAACTGGTTGACTGTCTCTACCAATACATTACAAGCTCCATCACGACGAGAGCTCTTTTCCATCCGTGTATCCCCAGCACCTAACAGAGTGTCTAGTAAAGGCAGAAATAGGTGAATGAATAAGTAGTCTTAGAGTCATACTGGGTCAAATCTTTGAAACCATTTCCTGTTGTAGGGAAAGAATCCCTTTATTATAACTTGAAACTTTAAACTAGGATGTTTGCTCCCTTACAATAACTTCCCTACTGCTCTCGACAAATCTCCCAAACTTCTTGGAATCATGAGATTTTGAGAACGACTCCTCCAAACCATTTTTTGTCTTCCTTGACATTTACATCCTGTATCTGATCAGAAATTTGTAACTCAAATGAACTGCTCATGATAATGAGCCTTTCTTAAGATGGTACCGAGTGAACATCTCTCTCCAAGAAGGTCACAGTGCTTTAGATACATTATCTAAGTTGTCTTCGGAGCGTACCTGCAGTAGGGTGACCACCCATTCCAAATCACCATGGTCGGATGATCCAGATCTTGGTGAAGTTGACTTTTTCCACCTCTGGGCCCAAAACAAAGTTCAAGTCTGCGGTGGCAGGAGCTGCTTTATGGTGACCACTATCTCATTCCTGAGCCTTCTGGATAGTCTTAGGTCAGAAACTGAGCTAATTCTCTCAGCAGCTGCAAGAAAAGCAAGAGTCAAGTCTGAGTGTAATATGCATCATAAAGCTACATAGATAAAGTGTTATGGGAGTTTAGAGGAGGGAAGATTACTTTCATCAAAGGGGATATTACAGGTGCCTTCACTGAGTGCAGCCTGCAGTTCTTCATCGTAGGCTCATATGTCCAAGTCCCATGTTGGGCATTTTGTGGAGAAGCAATGTGCTGTGGGGGAGTTGACACTGGATCAAGAGCAGGGAGCTTAGATTTCTGATCCCAACTCTGTCATTGACCAGCTGTGTGTCCTTAGTGAAAGCACTTATTCCCTTCAGACCTATAAATCAAGAGCATGGGACTAAATGATTCCCAGGGCCCTTCACAGCTTTGGAGTGGAATGAATTTGACCTGCGGCTCCCAGGTTCCTCCTGCAGACCTCCATGCCCTACACATGCGCTCTGTGCTCCTTTTCTGATGTTGGTCACATTTCTTCTTCTTTATATATGTGCATATCAGCCACCGTGTTGGATCGTAAGCTCCTTGTGGGCAAGAGTCACATCCATTTCATTTCTGTGTCCCGTACATAATGTAGATGCGCTTATCTCCGCTCTCCTGTACCTTTAATCTGTGAATCCCATCAGAGTCTTTTCAGCATATTAACCTGTTCAAGTCTTTCTACCTGGAAAGGAAAGACCGCACCCCCATCCTCCACCCCCATCTTCCTTCAGGCTTCCTATCTTCCCTCATTTGCAGCTCATTATCTTGAAATAGTTGTCTACATTTATCATATCCACTGTTATCTTTCCTCTTACTCCCCTACTCCCTACAAACTGGCATTCTGGCCCCCACCACCCCACAGAAACTGCTTTTGATAAATTCCCTAAAGAATTATTAATTTTTTTTTTTTTTTGGTGAGGAAGTTTGTCCCTGAGCTAACATCTGTTGCCAGTCCTCCTCTTTTTTTTGCTTGAGGAAGATGAGCCCTGAGCTAACATCTGTGCCCATCTTCTTCCATTTTGTACGTGGGATGCCACCACAGCATAGCTTGATGAGCGGCGTAGGTCCGTGACTGGGATCCAAACCCACGAACCCCGGGCTGCCGAAGCAGAGCACACTGAACTTAACCACTACGCCACCGGGCCAGCCCCCCGTAAAGAATTTTTTATTGCCAAATCCAAAAGGACGCTTGAGCGTTTTCACCCCATGGGGTCTAGTGGCGCTTGCTCTGATCACCACATTGTTCTTGAAGCTCTCCCCGCGTGGCTCCTCTGCGACCAGTTGCTCCTGCTCCTCTGACTGCCCTTCGTTCTGTCCCTCTTAGCCTCGTCTTTCTGATATTCTCCATGGTCTGCCCCTGGCTCTTGGCTCTTGTCTCTCTTCACTTTGTATTCCCTCCCTATGCAGTTTCATCCATGGTTGTGGCCTCTGGCGTTACCTCCCAGAGCAATCTCTAGATCTTGAGACTCACGTTCCCAACTTCTCTCTACGTCGCAGTCACATCAAATGTCGCATGTCCAGACCTGCTCTCATCCGTCTTCCCCAAAACTACTTGCTTATGTTTTCCCTATTTGGACGATGACCCCACAATATATCTAGTTGTCCAGGGCTGGGGTTCCCTCTCCTGCTCATCTAGCCAGTCACCTCTGACCTTTAGACCTTCAGTTTCACATGAATGTTTGCAGTGGCCTCCTAACTGTTCTCCCTGTCTCCTCCATCTCTCCTCTATAATCCATCCTCCACTGTAGCCAAAAATGACTTTTCTAGAATACAAATTTGGTGTCGTTGCCTTTGCTACTTAAATCTCCTACGCTTGACCGTTGACTTTTAGACAACGTTTCAGTTCCTCGGCGCACAAGATCCTCTGAGACTGGGACGCCCACAGTCTTTGCAGCCTCTTCTTGTGTGCTTCCCCACAGACATTTTGGACCCCTTGCTAGGAGGAAGTATAGTCTTGGTCACCACTGTGTCCTTCTGTAGGATATTTCATTGGTTTCAAATGCCATCCCCCCTTCCTCTGCTGGCAAGTCCACCTTGGCCTTGAGGACTCGAATCAGACATCACCTTTGCTGCAAAGCCTTCTCTTCCCTCACCAGGCAGAATGAAGTGCCTGCTCCCCTGGGCTCCCACAACGCCTCATTCCTGTGTCTACATAGCACTGACCATGTTGCTGGGGGGCTGTTTACGTGTCAGTCTCCCCCAGCACACAGTGGGCCCCCGAAGGGTCTGAACTTCCTCACTTGGCCTTTGTTCCCCACTTCTTAGCGTAGAGCCTGGGTCACAGTAGGTACTTCACACGTATTTGCTGAATGAGTAGATAAAGGCGTGTTGGAAGGACAGCTTACTCAAGGACTCAGTCCATCTTCCCCAAACATTTTTTTTTTTTTTTTTTTTTGGTCATTCTCTCCATTACCTATAGGATAGAGGCCACATTCCTTAGGCCAGTTCAGGGTTTAGTTCTGCCTGCTTTTTAAGTATATATTCCAGTCTTTTCTGAAAAGACTAGTCTACTTACCCCTAAACAGTCTATTCGCATTCTGGTTTCTCCTCCACAAGTTGAATACATTAAGGAATGGAGTTGGGAATACGAGTAGACCCCACACCTCAAGGCCTATGTTCTATGCATAAGAGCATCTTGCCTTTTAGAATAAACGAAGCTGCTCTGAATTATTTAGCCTCTTGGCCTCTGAGTACTCCCTCTTTCCTCTTCCTCTCGTGTTTTGATGACCCTGGCAGGCGTCAGAGGTACATGGTCCTGACTGCTGGATGATCATTTCCTATCATTTAAGTGCCAGAGCCAAGTACCATTCCCCTTTCATTTAAATAAGATGAAACCCAGACCTGTGGCTTGTGAGTGATGGTAGTCCACTGGGGAAATTAAAGGTTCAGAGAGAACGGGACCCACTATAGTAAAAGCATTTGCACAGCCAGTGATTCCATCTACCCTGTGGCTTCTGTGTTCCTTGGGGTATGGTGAAGTATGAAGCAAGAGGAGCTTTGGAAGTAGTCGGAGGAATTTATTTTAATTGGAAATGGTGGTAGCGTTCTGTGCTTGGAGTAAACTGCGGATCGTGTACAGTGGGGTGATGGGCATTGCATAAAGAGCCGTAGAGAACCCGATTCTGCCACGATTCGGGATCTTGGCTCCATTTTGTCTCAAGTTCTTTCTGCTCCTGCACACATACTAAGCATGATCATAAGATCTCTCCTTCCCTCTTTCTCTCCTTCCTTCCATTCTTTCCGTGGCTCTGCATTCCTATTCCATACTTGTGTTTAATCAAAATTATATAATAGTGCCTAAATCGGTCCACTGCTAGATCTTCAGATTACTCATAACTGTGAGACCTAAGAAAAACCCATGCAGCAGACATAGAATGGCCAGAAGAAAAACAGATAATCTCGGGCCGACCTGACGGCGTAGTCATTAAGTTCACGTGCTCTGCTTCAGCAGCCTAGGGTTCATGGGTTCGGATCCCAGGCACAGACCTACATACCGCTCAACAAGCCATGCTGTGGCAGTGTCCCACATGCAAAGTAGAGGAAGATTGGCACAGATGTTAGCTCGGGGCCAATCTTCCTCACCAAAAAAAGAAAAAGAAAAAAAAGATAGCGTGCATGTAAATTTGTAATAATGCAAAATAAAAATAGCTATTTTTTTCCTATTCCCCATTTATTAAGGACTTTACATGCATTTATCATTTAATTCTCACAACCCTACTATGCAGATGCTATTTCCATTTCACAGATGAGGAAACTGAAGCTCAGAGAAGTTAAGACACTTGCCCAAGGTCACACAGCTATATTGAATGGCAGAACCAGGATTACCTATAAGATACAGACAGAAACTATACTGAGTGGCAGAACCAGGTTTCAAACTCAAGTCTGACTGCAAACCCCAAGCTTTTAAAGACTGCGTGCCAGTGCCCCATGACTTAAAAGGACTCTATTGCTGAACATCAAACACAGGCTTGCATTTTAATGTGGTTACTTTTAACTGGGAGCGGTCTTGTTACTATTTGTGCGCCCTTATCAGAATATCAGAACTCAAGTTTAATAGTGTGGGATTTCTGAGACTGTTTATACGGTTGTTCAATCTGCCTTTACTCTCTCACTTTTGTGTTTTTAGATGCATCATCCCATTCAGATGAAACCTGCAGATAGTGAAAAGTCAAACGGTAGGTGGTGACCAACTGTCTCATTTCATGTCTGTTTCTCTAAGTTAAGAAGGCAGGTGGGGGAGGGAGGAGCCAGCCCCAGTTGCTTTTTCTCTCTGAAAGGCAGAGAGCTGTTCCAGGAAACTTCCACTGCAGCTGGCCTGTCTGGAAAAATGTGAACCTCCTCTCCTGCCTCATTTATCTCCCATGTAGAGACCTGCAAAGATGTTACAAGAAATGGTTGTCTGTGTCCCTCTGTTTGGGACTTGCTCTGTGTGGTGACCCTGTGGCCTCTTGCCCTTGTGTATCTCCTCCCACAGAGCAGCACAGGACCCCGATGGGCAGGAATGACCTTATTCTATGCAGAGATGAGTAGGAAGGGGGCCTTTTCTGCTTTCGTTGGCTCCTCTCTGGCTTGGAGACTGTCTTCTGGCACTCTTCTCTAAATTGTACCCATGGATTTGCATCCAAATTCATTCAGAATTCAGTCTGCTGATTAAATAAGCTTACACTCGGTGCGAAAATATGCGTTTGATGAGGTCCGTGAAATAACTGAGATTTGCCTCTCCAAGACACGAGAGGGTTGATGGCCACATTTCTCTCTTAAGTTTTTGCTTCCATTTATACAAACCATCTGTCCCTGTTTTGTTCTTTGCATTTACTGAAATGTGTGTTAAAGGAATCTTCTAGTGTCTCAGACCTCAGAGCCTCCCTGTCCCACAAGGCTGACATAATCAGCACGGTTTCCTTCCACGGGCAGCTCTGCACCTCATTAATTAGTAATCAGGGCAGAAGCCATACACTTGGAGATCTGCATATCTGCAAATGTAAATTATGATTGGGCTCTAAATCTCTCCACAAGGTGTTTTTTGCTAATTGTAGTGCATCTCATTTTCTGGCTTCCTCACCGACTAGAAAGTTTTGAAGAAAATTCCCAGTTGCATCGTGGTGCTGCTAGCACTTGATCTGTCTGTCGGAGAGTAGACTTGGGTGCTTTCCCACCATCTTCAGGTCCGCCGCACCCTTCTCTGAGAGTCAGTTCCCTTTTTCCTATACTGCTTTATCACAAACATGCATTAGTGTCAGAGGGTCTAAAATCTGCCACTGCTTTGTTGCAGGACCTTAGTCAAGTCACATCATCCTTTTATTCACAGTTATTCGTTAATGACTTTCCGTGAGTCAGGCATGTTGCTGGGGGCTGGGGCAGCAGCAACGAATTTCAAAAAGATGAGGAAGAAAAGACTACAGAAGACACTGCCCCTGACCTCATGGCACTTCCTGACAGACTGTCTACTGATTTAAGTATCTAATAGTCACTTAAAGACTGAACTTTAATCTCTTCATTCATAAAACAGGAATAATGGTAATGGCCTCACATAGATTGCCTTTTTTTTTTTTTTAGGACTCATATAAGATATTTGTAACAGTGCTGTGTAAATGACAGAGCACTTGTATAAAATGTTGATTATCATCATCACCCAGATTTTCCCTGGCCTTATAGTGTTCTGCAGTGAGTATGTCTACCCAAGCAGGAGGCCCTCGACCCATGCCGATTTGCTCCAGAAATGCATGTTTATAGTCTGTTCTATTCCTCATGGGAGACAGGAGAGAGGAATCTTGTATTTGTGGCATGAATCCTATCAGTGAAAATCATCTGGGAGCTTCTGGCCACCAAGAGATGTTCCCTATCCTTTGGCCCCATAATTCTCTAAACAGTGTCAGGACAAAGGCCATGGAATGAAAGTCTGGGGAGAAGGGTTTGTCTTATTTCTGAACCTTAGGTCATAGTTATAAAAACATGACACATTAGACAACTGAGTTGGAAATGTTTGACCTGAAATACCCATCGTTGTACCATGAAAGGATTTCTTCTTTTGCATTTTCTACCGCCCGGGCACGAACCCTGACTTGGAGCATCCTGTCCACAAGATAACTGGGAGGTCTCAGAAGGGTCCATTGCCTCTGTTGTCCACTGTCTGTTTCAGACACTGAGGGTGATGTTTGCTTTGGGTCCAGAACCACAATGACAGAATAAGACGGCCATGGGCACACCCAGTTTTGCATGATCTCAAAAGACAAGCAGGATTGGGCACTATTTGATTAAGATGAGAGAATACCTAACAATGCCATTTTTCATGAAGCAACACTGGGTAGTAGTTAAAAATTCTTTTGGAGGGCCCAGACTTGACCCCTGGCCCTGCGCTTCTTAGTCGTGTCCTTGGGCAGGTTCCCTAACCACCTGGCCTCCGCGTCTCCAGCTGTAAGCAGGGGCTTTGGTGGTCTGTAGTCTGAACTCCTCTTGTAATGCCTACCTTACAAAGTCATTGGAGGAGCACATAAGTTAACATCTCTAAAGAGCTCAGCCTCATACCTGGCACATAGTAAATATTCATAACTGCTAAGTTATGGGCGTAACTCTGGCTAGCTGAGGCAGCCAATCTAGTGCATTCTGAGCAACAGAGGCTGGCTTTTCCAGACTTGGGCTGTTCATACTGAAGCACAGATCTGTACTCACGAAGGAAAAGCCCAACCTTCTCGTTGGGCCCATTCTCCCTTTGCTTTGTAGATGGACCTTTATTTTCTGACTTCCCAGTAAAAAAAAAAAAAAAGCCAGAAAGTGTCAATGGACTGAAAGCTGCTTTTAAAGCGCTCTTCTTTATGGAGGCTCATGGAGCCTCACCTTGCACAGTCATGAACAGGTTTCAAGGTTTTCCTTGGACCTGACTGAAGAATCAGGAGAAATGTATAATTTGCAAAAGCAAGTGATAAGAGCTGCAAGCCTTCTCTGATTTCACATGGCAGTTTTGACAGGTAAGCATAGTTTCCAGAGCTCAAAGAGCACAAAGATTTCTTCAGCTCATATGCTCTAAATAGCTCCTGCAGTTGTGAAAGAAATCTAACGAGCTCTAATTGCACTTTTATTGAGTTTGCTGACATTTATGGATGGCACAAAGGACTCATCACAGTTAGACAGTTACTGTCTTCATCATCACGATGTTCAGATTGCTAGAACTTTGTATTTGCTGAGCAAGAAAGGGCTGCTAATCACAGATTAATTAGCGATGGACAAATGACATCCAGAAAAGCAATCACTCTTGTAAGCCTTTGTCGTCTAGAGATTCTGACAAAGGGAACCTCTATGGTGAGCCCAGAAATGTTAGTCTGCTCTTAGAGCTGCCCTGCACTTTCATATTTTACATAACGGGCTTCCAGAATCTCCATGGCTTCCTATAACCTGCCCTTTTAGTTGGCTCTGATTTAAGCTGCAGCCTCTAGCACATTTATGCAAACTTGCAACGTTTTATTTCCTGCCCCTGTGCATCTGTGCCAGGTGTCCAAAAAAAAAAAAAAAATCTCATTCTGGATTAGCAATAAAATGCTGAGGCCTTTAAAAAGAACACACTGAATAAATACCCAAATTGCAACAATCCAACTTGGTTGTTATTTTTCCATTGCACATAGTTGGATGTAGGAAGCACACTGAGGAGGTGTGGATTTCAGGCACCAGCATAAACTAGCACAAACATAGTTACTCTCTTTCATTCTGTATCCCCTCAGAGGGCCTGTTTTCCAGTTTTAATCCTTTGTTGCTATGCAGAAAAAGATAGCAGCTGTGCAAGATTGAAATTGAAATGCAGTTGCTGGATCTGAAGTTTGTCTAGCAGTGAGTGATGAGAAAGAAAAGCATAGGGGTTGCCGTTGGTTCTGTGCTGGGGGTCTCAGTGGCTGTAGCCAGTGTTCCCTCCTGTGTCATGCTCCTGGTTGACAGGATTGTTTTTCACTCTTTGGACAGAGCATAAATCCGTCCTGCTTTAACCCTCCAACCTCACAAGTTGTCAGGGGTCCTTCAAGCCTGGAATCCAGAAATGCCATTTAAGCCCCTGTCTCTTTTCTCAAGGCCTCCGAAAACCCCAGTGTGCATGCATCATCAAGTTCAGAGCTCGCAGAAGTCAAGTTAACTAAATATTGTGGGGGGAGGGTGATGAGCTGCAAGCTTCCAGTAGAGAGGAATCTCGGGGTGTTCCCATCCAGTGGCTTTCCGATTTACTGGAAGATGAAGAAATAATTTTGAAATTCAAAGTGGAGAGACTCACGGATTTAGAGGCAGTATTAAATGCCATATGTTAGCACTAACACATTGAAAAGTTGTTAATTAATTCAGGCCGCCCCGAATCCAGGTGTGACTTTGACAGATTGTACACCGGGGTGTTAGCAGAGACTTACAATGAGGGATTTTTTTTTTTTTTTAGACGAAGTTTCTATTCCCCGAACTTAAAAAAGTCCCCATTTGTAATATTAACCCTTTCTCATTTAAACAGTGGAAGGAGAACTGGAAATGGCCACTGGTATGGAACACCTTTCAGTTCTGCTGTGGTCATAACTGATGGCCGTGACCCCATGTGTGCAGCACTTTGTATATAAAAGTGTTTCTCCCACCCAAAGGAAAACAGACTTTTTCCCTAAAGGGCAAGGACCTTATCTTTTATCTTTCTTTAATTCCCCTAAAGCACTTAGCAGAATACTCTGAACAGAGCAGGTTTATTTAAGCAATTGCCATTCTTGTTGATTAAAAAAATGGTGAGATGCTTACTGCCTATGAATACTTAGGGAAAACCCACCAAGAAATTCATCAAAAATAGATGAAAAAGTTAAGTGAATTCAAGATAATTATGTTTATTTAAAATGTTGACAAAGCTGTGTAGGGATCCTTAAAGTGGGCATCCCAGGAATCAATTTTATGAATAAATTTTCACTGGAAAATAGGAAAAACTCAAGGGTGAGGAAAGCTGGATGTGTGTAGTTATCCCCATTTTGCCATTAAACAAACAGGGCCCAACTGTTAAAACCACAGAGCTACACTGGTGAGCAAAGGCTTGCAAACATGCAGCTTTCGTTATGTGTGCACACTCGCCAGTGCTCACTCACACACACACACAGTCACACACACTCACACACACCGGGAAGGAAGTTAGCATTTTGAATAGCACAAGAATGGTGTAGGTTTCCAGTTTTTTTCTTAGCTATTGCTTGTTATGTAAAAAAATGAGAGTTCTCCGTCTCCCTGCCTGAGCGTGTTTACCTTTCCTGATACCTCGGAAGTCAGGACTTCTTTATAAGTGGTTTCCATTTTCTTAAAATTCATCTTAGGAAAAAATCATTTTCCAGCTTACTCAGAAGCTGCCTGTTTAGTTTACTCTAGCATCACCCTGAAGCTCAAATCCTGCAAATTGTTTTAGCCAAATACCATAATTATAGGTTTACCAGTGAAACCAAGGACCAACTGGGAATTTATCATTTGCTTTTGTTTAAAAGAACTAAAACCAGATTCTTCAGGAAAAAAAAGAAAACAGGAATTTTTTTTTTTCTCGCATCAGGATATCAGCCATGGCTTCCTTGGGTAGGAGTCCCAGAGATGAGAGGGAAGTTGCAGGGGAATAACACCTACAACTAAAAGTTTTTCCCTCCCTGTTCTGCCCCATTTCAGTCAGTTCCATCCTTTTCCCCTAACCGGTCAAGGGAACGCGCATCCTCTCAGGGCCACCAGAATCCTCACGTGTTAAGGAGTCCGGCATCCTAGTGGTCGACCTGGTGTTGGAGAAGATCTGTTACCTTCCTCATACATTGAGCCCCTCTCTACAGATGAAGCAGAAAATGATGCATAGTGTGCTGAAGTCAGGCTGCTTTCCTCCATCCACCCAAAGCCAGTCCTTACTTATTCCCAACTGTGTACCTTGCCCAGTGAGGATGTTCTTCCCCCGTCCCATCTAGATCCTGCCTGTGCTTCTTAAAGGCCAGCTTAGATCCCACATCTTCCCTCCAGCCTTTCTCACACACTTCAGTGCACCACTCATAGTTTACAAGTACAGTGGAATTGTGGTTTTCAACCTGTATTCCTTGGAGCCCTGGATTTTCTCTGCATTGTCTTAGGAGCTGCCACGAGTGTGGAGAGAGGCTGGGTGGAAGGGATTCTGAGCTCCAGCATTCCCTCCCCCCCAAATGTTTCAATCAACCGAAGCATGTAGCTCGGCTGCCTTCTCTCCATTACGTAAGAAAGAGAGAAAGAAAAAAGAATTGAGTTTAAACCTTCATTTTATGGATGACAAGACTGCGGTCCAGAGGTCAGCTCACCATCCAAAGTCACACATTAGTGTAATGGCAGCACTGGAATCAGGACCTAGGTCGCTAATCACAGCATCACTCTCCCCTCTAAGTCTCCTGTGCCTCCTCTGGACATGCAGGAATCATAGTAGAATGAGAAGAACCCTGGCTGAGAGTAGGGTACCAGGTTGGGGTCCAGGTTAGGCCCCCCGCTTACTGAAGGACCTGGGCAAGTCCCTTCCCCCTGCTGGGCCTCAGGTCTCTTCTAGAGTTAGAAGAAATATCTTCAAGTCTCTCACTTTAGTCCAGAGTTCCAGGACTAGGAGCCTTTAGCCATCTCACTGAAGCCCCTCAGAGCTGCACTGTCCAATGCAGTAGTCACACGTGGCTTTTAAAATTTAACTTAGTTAAAATTAAATCACATTAAAAATTGAGTTCCTCAATCACACTAGCCACTTTTCAAGTGTTCAGTAGCCACACGTGGCTTTAGCTACTGTAGTGGGTGGACATCACAGATAGAATTTTCCATTCCTGCCAAGTTCTATTGTCAGCTCTGCTTCAGAGTAAAGCGCCATGTGTTACGTTACTGATTCATGGATGGATCTTCTGTACCAGCTCCTGGAGGGCACGGGCCACATATCTGGGCCAAAGCAACTGGCCCTAGAAAGTTTAGTATCCGTTGTTGTAGGTTAAATGAAAATGAGACACTTGCTGTCCAGGGAAGGAATAAGAGAAACAGAAATAAGAGCCAGTTGAATAGCAATGACGAGATTATACCACAGATACAAAACGAAGGCCTGTACATAAGTAGTGTATGGCAGAGCCCTTCCCCTAAGCCAGGACTTTTTGAAGTGCTGGTGCAGCCGGCTATCCTTTTATTTTTAATTCTAAGAAATAGATTGAAATGAAACATGGGAAATAAACAAGACTTCTCCCCAAGGGCTTCTGTGACAATCTTTTGCTCTCTCCTAAAAGAAGTTCTAAACACTGTCCTGTAATTCTTTATAATCGTACCTTTGAGCTGAGCGTAGGCCAGTTATCCTGAGCACAAGCGTGTCGATTTTGAGGACAATCTCCCAGGTCATCAGAGGTCAACCTTCTCTAACCTTTACCCCCGTCAGCTTCCAAGGTTAGAATTGGCACATTGTTGTCATGACACCCAAAATGCATTTCTGCTCATCAAGAATCCTACCTCCAAGTGGGTGGAATAGTATTGTTCTCTCCTTGATCGGTTTTTGTTACATGTGTCACCCGAGCCTGGGGCCATCCTGACATGACTCGCAAGTAGCCGCAGCCCCATTCTCTTCACTAGAATCGCCTTCCTCTTTAGTTGTAACACTCAGACCATGAGCTGTCCTGGTTAGGCTGCATAAGCAGTCTACGGAAAGGAGGTCATTGACTAGCTATGTGGAGAAATGAGCATCTTTCTCATCTCTTATTCTTGTCTGGGTCAGTGGGGACAAAGCAATGTGAAATCAGAGGAGAAGAATGTTTTCTTCTGTTGAATGCTTTGTTACAAGTTTTGTTTACTATTCCACTACATCTGTTCATGTCATTTTCCCTCTCCCGGCCTTTTTCTTTCCCTGTCACTCAAGTTAAAAGAACATCTACAAAAAACCTAAATGAAAATCTGTATCCAAAAATATCTCTATGGAATGGTGTTTAGCAATTCCGCGGAACTTTAGTATTTTAGTAAACACGTTACTGTGAGTTTCCAGATAGGGAGAAAGGACTTCACAGTGTTTTGTGTCCTGTGAAGATGTTTTATTGGTAAGGACAAGCTCACGAAGAGATGAAATGTTCAGGAAGGGCAAGGCAGGAGAGCAGAGGCAGGATGGTGTGTGTGGAGGAGGAGGGGAAACTGGAAGTCTGAAGAGTTAGCCCGGGGACCCGTTTTCAGGCTCGGATGACTGGGACCCGGTTTGATGTGGTAATGAAGCATTGATTACAAGGAAAAAGGTGAAATGGCCTCTGCTCATTCATTATTTTTGTCTCCTAGCTGTGGAAGACAGAAAATTGTTCATAGGAATGGTTTCGAAGAAATGTAATGAGAATGATATCAGGGTGATGTTTTCTCCATTTGGCCAGATAGAAGAATGCCGGATCCTCCGGGGACCCGACGGGCTGAGCCGAGGTGAGTGTGCTGTCTATAAAGTCTCTTCCCTTAAGTGCTAATTGGAGCTCTGTGTCACAGTCAAGGTAGATGTAGGCACCGCACACAGCAAGAGGTTACCCTGTAATACATCCCGTGTGATAAAGTTATCCAACCTGAACTTTTCCCCGAATCTGAAATGATCACCTTTTATTTCTCCAGTGGAGAAGGTCTCAATGCCAACATATTAGCTCAGGCTATCACTGTCAGACACGAGGCCAACAGGCTGCCCTGTCGCTCTCTAGCCCTCTTCAGTCTCAAAGTAGATTTTGGGGGGTTGAGGGAGAGAGGTGGAGGAAGAGAGAGAATATTTGTTGTTTTCATCTTAGTCTTCGGGCTTTCTGCCTGTGCCCAAGAGAAATGTTAAGGGATGGGCCTCCAGACAATGATGTAAACCAAGAAGAAAACATTGATGTCCCCAAGTCGGGCAGAGAGATATGGACTCAGAGTAACCTGGCCTGTCTCGGGGTGTTAGGGTTTTATTTCAAAGAGCAAAACTCCTTGAGTCCGGAGGACAGAGAGTCTGCTAAGTGACAGAGAAATGACTTCATCCAGAAGATTGTAGGCTCCTCTTGTCACCATGATAGAAGCAAAGGCTGAGGCCCAGGGCATTGAGGAAAACCAGTATTTTTGCACGCTGGCCTCCCTCTTTGACAATGCCACACACCTCCTTCCTTCAACCCCTCATGAGGGTTGTCACTGAGCGTTAAAGCTCGTCGGACTTCAGTTTCCTGAGTCAGTCCAGGGAGGCCGGAGTGAAAGCATGTATGTAAAACATATTTTTCAGTCCTTCTAAGAAATCCGTATTTTTGCAACAAGAAGAGGATTTCATTCTGTTGTTGTAGTTATCAGGGCAGTTTCCATGGGGCTCAGGAGAAACATCTTTCATTCTCAGTCTCTGGCCTGGGACAGCACTGCCATCCCAAACCACAGGTTGAAAGAAGAGGTTGGGCCTTGAGTATGGAAGCATTCATTTTCACCCATCTCCCTGGTGTTACCTAAATTCAGCACCACGTAAGGAAGAACATTTGTTCTTTTGACTCTTAGACAGAGAGTTTCATGATGTCAGCTGCTAGAATCCAAGGCGCAGAGAACAAAGGTTTCCGCCTACTTCCGCCTCCAGAGCCCCAAACCAGAGGGAGTTTAGAGGAAAAGTAGGAGGAGGTGGAACAGCTCCAAGCTTGCAATCCCTGTATTTTCTCCTGAAGGTGGTTTAAAAAAGAGGGGAGGAGGCATGGACATCACAGTGGATGCATTCTCTAACAATTCTGAAACTGGTGGTGGTTAGCTCTTGCTGAAGAGATGTGACTCTAAAGTTGAGCAAGACATGATATTGAGTGTGATCCCTAAACAGCAGACCCAGCGCCTGAGACTAATCTGTAGCTTACCACCCACACCATCACCAGTGTCACACAGAGAGTTCATCGTACTCGTGGCCGGCACAACCTCTGGCTCCTGTACCACCTCAAAAGCAGAAGGATACTAGGATTCCTGTCCTCCTTCTCTAGGTGCCATCCTAGCAGTTTCACACCATGAGAGCTTCTAATCACATTCGACCATCCATCTACTGCAGTCAGGATAGGTATATGCCCACTGAGGCAGACAAACCAGGAGAGACTAATCCCATGGGAAAAGGCAGTGTGGCGAAATGAAGAATAAAAATGGAGGAAAGACGATATTTTTGCAGTCCCTTTTCTGCTGCCAATTTAGTAATTAGAGCCACTTTTCTCTCCTGTGATTATTCTCAGTCCCACTCCTGTGCTATCATTGCTTTTTTCATTCACCAAGGCATATAGCATGGAGGAAGAACAGAAAGAAAGTTCCTTAAATTGTTCATAGTGACATTTAGAGTAGCTTGGAGGTCAGTGACCCCAAGGTCCAGTCCTAAACTTCTCCAACATGAAATGTGACCGTAGGTAATTCATTTTCCTGGCTCTATCCCTCAGTTTCCCCATTTGTAAATGGCAGCAGTCAAAATAGCTGCCCTGATTATCTCATAGTGGATCATTAGTTACTGATGTAGATTTTTGGGACAAGCACACCACCCTTATGGTTTAGTAGAGACCTCGACCATGAAGTATGAATTCTTGGCTTCTGTTCTCCCACTGCTGGCCTGGGCCGATTCATGGAATGATTCTCCCTCTCAGTTTCTCCATCTGTCCGGTGGGGACAGCAATGAATAGCACTGGGGCCTGTAGCCTCTAGAGCTCCCTGAGCGTATGTGAAGTTATTTCTGTAGATAAGTTTTTAAAGCAACCAAAACTACATAAGAAAGAGCAGGACACAGTACTTGACAAGAGAACTTGGCTAATTTGATCTGCCCTTTGGTTGATGAACCAGTGCTGGCCACCAGAAGCTCCCTGTTTCTGAAACAAGTTATGGGAGCACTCTCTTCAGTATTTTATGCACATGCTGGCTCAACGTAAAGAGTGGAACTCCTTCCTGTTCCCCTCCCCTTTTTTTAACAAAAGTAATTTCTGGTGAACTGATGAGAATTCCCTACGGCAAAAAAGAAAATACTCATTTATAACCATTTGTTCTGAAATATAAAGACAGACAGTGGTAGGTTTTTCAATTAGCAGGACCCAGGGACTCCTGGGTACAGGGGACTGCTCCTGAATCAGTCTTTGTTCAGAGAACAATTCTCTTTCGTGCTACTATTTTGCTTTCATTAAAGAATTGCCATTTTCAATCAAATATTAATAAGTGTCTCTCATTGGTGGCACTGCAGATAAAGGGCACTCAGCGTTTCTGGTCTCAGTGCCTGTTGCTGGCTCAGCTGTGTAGAAAATAAATATATCAAAATTAAGTGAAATGAAAGCTCGGCTGCTCTGGAAAGTACCTTCTCATACTAAACCAGTCAATAAAAAAGTGTCAAATCAAACTATTTGATTATGATGAGGGAGAGGTGCCATTGGGTGGTTCCTTTTTTGTTTTTTTTTTTGCTTCTGCCCAGTTCAGCTATAAGAATGAAGACAAAGAAGGCAATTAGCATGGCAGCCTCCCCCACAGGTTTCTAAGGTCATTTCTTCCCTGCCACATCCATAGTTGAAATTTCTCCCTGATAGGTATTAAGCTGAGGTTCCTCCAGGCTTGTTGACTCAGTACCCCCTACTGAATCAGAGTAGTGGGCTGCCAGGACCCACAACTTTGTATCTATCAAGCCCTGCTATACTTTCAGTTAGAATCACTGTCTTTAAAAATACATAATCTACATATTGGCAAGAAAGACTATTTTGAAAGTCCCATTGTTACTCACCAGCACCTAGATCTGTGCCATGTTCCAGAATAGACCCGCCCTCCCTAGGAAATTGTCATGGCTGTACATAGACAGCCAAGCGTCTAGCACCTGCCAAGCGTGTTGAGGCTGCTCAACAAATATCAGGGAGACTAGGAGCCCACACGCGGCAAGTCAAATGAGATGTTTGCTTTCAAAATCAAAGCTTGAGGCTTCTAAGCCAGTGCATTTATTTGACAGCGCCACCTAAGTGTGTTGATTTCCTAAAATACACATGTTTTTACTTACCCATAATCCCACAGTCAGAATGGACTATTTGGGTACAATCGACAGGGTTTTCTGCACCATGACAACTGAATATCTGTAACTCACAGACAGTGAAGGAGTTGATTTCATTTTTCTTTCCCATAAACCGTAGTCCAATCTTCACTGCCATTTAAGGTAACTTTCTGCTTGTTTAAGAATATTCCAGCTGTGTTTATGGTGTTCCAACATTCTCCTGCCAAAACCCCTGACAAATGAATTGGCAATATTTTCACGGATGTTGGTGAGCACAGACTGGATTTAGCCATTAAATCCTCATTTGTTTTTGTTAAATCTGATCAGAATATCAGGGTAGGGCTTTTGACTTTTAAAACATGTACACAGAGAGGACTTAGTTTTGATTGCAACATTTTAGTCTTGCCCGCATGGTACCTAAACATTTAGATATGTGGAAACTTTTATCAAATCCCTCCCAGATTATTAAGTGCATCTTATCTTGCTCTGAATACAGTCTTCCAATCTCATCTCAAGGATTTTGCCGACTATTAAGTCCTACTCTGCATGCTCTCTCCATGCCAATTTTAAATAAACTAACCCAACACTGGGGATGGTGGATTAGAATTTTAATTTTGATGCTCCAATATGATATTGATAGCATATGCTTAATAAACCCTGCCACTGCCAAAAAGAGACAGTCAGGAGCCTTGGCTGCATTAAGATCTTTCTTGGGCTGAATGGGAATTTATAAACAAGTTTTCCATAGGTTGAAATCGCCTTCACACTGCACCAGGTATTTTAAATTATGTTTCTTTCAGTTGAAATATAGCAGGCTGCTGCTCCTCATTCAAAGTAGCAGAAAAGCAAGAGACCTAGGCATTGTCTGGGCCTTTAAAAGTGCCTGCACTTTTTTTTTTTTTTTTTTTTTTTTGGTGCAGAGCAAGAATTCATCTAGTTCTCGCAAAATTCTCTTGCAGCCAGGAGACAAAGGTAGAACACCTGAGTTAAGAGAGCCTTTCATTTGAAATGACAGGTGTAATAGATGTGTTCCCAAATCTTCTCTGTGACAGGGCTGCGTGCTTTCCTTAGATCCTGTCTGTAGGAGGAAATTACTTGGAGAAACCTTTCCCCAGTCAATCATTTATCTGTTTTAGCAGCAAGAAGGCAACCTCACCGAAATAAGAGGAATTCAGCCCCTTTCATTTCTATTAGCAATCTCTGACATTCCGAAAGTGGAGACAATAAATAATTGCCAGGTAAATTCCAGGTTGGCCACATTTACAGATGGAATTTTTTATTTATTTATTTATTCTACTGTGTGTCTGGAGGCTTTAAGACAGTAATATACAGCCTATCTTACCTAACCTCCCCCAAAAATTGTAGCTTCATTATTTGTGTACCTGAATCTTCTTTCACCCTAGAATCCAGTTTCTCCTGCCTTTTGGTCAGCAGCCAGAGAACTGACTGCTGAGACAGCGCATACAACAGTCTAGAACAGTTAAGGGCTGACCTTACAAGATCAGAGCAGTTGTCCTGTCGAGACCCAGTGATCTCCACTGCATCCAGAAGCTCCTTTTTAGTAGAAGAAGGGGACAGTTATGACCTAAGTTATTTCTGTCCAATGGAAAGTCATCTAGTTGGCTTGTAGAAGCAGCCAGCAGCGAATCTTGGTGGTAGGCATTTATGTGACCCTATGTTACTGAAAAACCATGGATTTGAGGCCTCGTCCTAAAGCTACCACAATGTTTTCAGTGGTGTTGAAAAGAAAATTAAAATCTAGCCATAGGACTATACCACGGCCTCCTGTTTCAGAGAAATTACAAAGGTTAACAAGCTACCAACTTGTGAGACATTTGGTTCTGCAGTTGCCTAACTTCACCCCGAATGGCACGCACGGAGAGTAAAATTTTTCAACATGCGCTCTCACCTTATAAATGACACAGTAATTTTCTCTCTTAAGTTGCTGAGCACAGCACACAGTACAGAACTTGACAGAGCCCCTAAGGAGACAAGTTCTCGCTCCCTGCACCGCTGCCAATAGAATAAAAAGGTTAAAGAAGTCATCAGATTTGTCAGATCATTTTTTTGGACGGGATAAGGATTGTATAATTGGAAGCATCAGTAGCGCTTTTAATTGCAGGTTTTATAGAGGAAAGGTCAATGGTTTGAGTTGATAGAGATATAGTTTTATTGTTCTATTGCTAATACTTTTCTTTTGAGACCTGGTAATTGCTATATCTTTCTCACTAAGTTACTTACAAAAGTTCTACTTGTTCCAAAATTGTGATAAGTGCATAAACTGTGCCTTATTGATTTTTGTTGACATTCTGTGTTTTTTATGCATTCTTAACCTCCAGTTGAAACTGTCAGTTTGGCACGTGTTCCTGGATAATAGGAGCAAATGAAGTGAATGCAACAATCTTCTTGACTATTAAAAGCAGAGTTAGTCCAGGCTCACACGGTTTCAAATATCTCTCCATGAGATTATTTGCTTTTGCATCCATTGTAGTCTCAAGATAAGAAATGGAAAAAGAAAAATCTGAGTTATTTCCTCTGATAATAATGGCAGTGATCGTCACAGTGTTTTTGAAGAGATATTACTTGGAAACGGATGTCAAATTTGGGACTCTATAATTTTAAAGCTGAGTATCAATATGGAAGCCAGAAGAGGTACCCTCATCTGTCTCACACCCTATTACACACATCATCTAGCTGCCTTAGAGGAGGCTGCCAAATTGCTTTTATTGATGACAAAGGCTACAGCCAGTAGAGGGACAGGCAGCATGTTTAAATAGTAAGCTTCATCAGCCACTTTAATGTCAGAACTATATGAAACAGCTCAGCATTCATAGCTAGCCAGACTTCAGACTTCATAGGTCCAGCTTAACTGGGAGGTGAATTTGAGATGAATCTCCCATGTACTCAGAGTTTTTGCATATTAAAAAGTACAGCATGATGCAAAAAAATGCATTGACTTATTTTCATGACTGGATGTTGTTGTGCTTTGAGGGTGATGGACAGGCAATTGCTTTCTCTTATTGCTGTTTGATGAAAAGGTGCTAATACAGTATTGACTTGATAATCTCACCAGGAACACATGCAGAGCCAAAGAAGAAAATGTATTTTATGGCTCACAAATTGATTTACATAAACCAAACAGTCTGTGGGCTGTTTGGGGGTAGAATGTTCTATCTGGCTTACCGGCCACAGGGGCGACAATCTCGCATTGTTGATGCCGGAATTTCAGTTTCACACGTTCACTCTGAGATGACACCAGGCTGCAGCCTCTCAGTGTTTAGATCTGCTTCATTTGGAAATCTTTTAAGTAGTAATAATAATAATGTCTTGAGGAAATTGAGTGGAACACTAAATTATTCTCTGATACCTAAGTTCAAACTGTGCAAGGCTAAAGCAACTGAAAATCAATGCACTTTTAAAGTCATTAGAGATCATAAGTGAAATAAGTCTGTGTTGCTTTAGCTAAGCTTTTAGTGTGCTGTGGTATTATTATAAAATCAGCCTGAATCTGCATTAATTTCACAGTCTTTTTCTCTAAGAAGCCCAAGGGTGCATGATGAATAAAATGTAAATTTCAGAAGGCACTGTTTTTATTAGTGAAAAGGGCAATGAGCCGTGTAGTTGGAGCAGCGACCTGCCTGGTGGCCGAGGCTGCTACCAGGAGCCAGAGCCGGCACTATAGATTCTGGATATTTTTACAGCACATGAGAAAAATAGCCATGGGAAGCTGGATGGGTCTCACAGGAGATATTTAGAGAAATGTACATTGTCTTGGGTATGCTAGACTTTAGGTCAGATCTCTGATACATATCAGAAAGTTGCAACTTGCAAAAGTCATGAAGCTTTGATACAAATAAGAAAGCAGATGCAAATTTTTAAATTTTACCTTATATGCACTATTGAATATTCTCAGAATAATAGAGCATTTGTTTCTATTCATAATTAATTAATAGTTTGTGCAGGATTTGGTATATTTGCATTTGAATAGCATCAATGTATATTTATACATACACATTTCTTAACTACCCAGAAGAAAGTAGATATATTGATTTGCTGACATTTTGAGCTCTTGGAATTTATTTGCTAATTTGCCCTTGGTGTGAGGAGTTTATTATTTGCTGCTTAAAAATCAACGCTAAAACTTGAAATACAAAGTTCCTAACGTGTGGATGCCCTGAGTCAAGATAATCAGCCAAGGAGAAAATGTAAAATCGCAACTTTTTATTTTAGAAAATGCAAACTAGGTCTTGCTCATTTCCAACCCCCATGGCTAAAAAAGTACCCAGTTCCCTTCCTCTCGTCTCCATTTAAAAAAAGAAACTAATCAATAGATAAATCTTTCTGGTTGGGTCAGATTAGCAAGTCAGCACTGTGAGTAAAAAGCAAAATCAGATAAAACGGAAGAGAGAAGTTGTTTATTTTTATGTACTACTGAGAACAGTGTCGTCCTGTGGCAGTTCTCGTAGACTGTGTTGGTTTAACAAGCGTCCAACCCTTTTGTCTTGTTGTTTTTTGTCTTTCCTGCTCCCTGTCCCTTGTTTCCCACAGGCTGTGCGTTTGTCACATTTTCTACAAGGGCAATGGCACAGAATGCAATCAAAACTATGCATCAGTCTCAGACCATGGAGGTATTGTATCATCTGCCCTTTCTTTGTTTTCTTTGTGCAAATGATGGGGAATGGTAAAGCGATTCTCTCCTGCGTGGATTGTTCACATGACAATCACAGATTTCAACTCTCACCATCTCTCTTTTCATTCATTCATATTCATTCTCTCTCTCTCTTTCTCTCTCTCTCTCTCTCAGTTTTTCCCCTAATGACTTGAAATGCATTTAGTCAAACCTTGCACTTGCTCGACATTATTCTTTGAGCCTTTAATTGCACTGGCCCAGGTCCTGCCAAGTAAAGTCATGATGCAGTTGAAGCCACGTATTGTTCTGTACCTAAAGGACCAACGATGTCCCCCAGCCCAGCGTGGTGTGGAGGAAGGATGAACAGCCCCCAGCCCAAATTGCAGCCTGCCCTGTGCTAACTCACAGGGTTCATCTTCTTCTTCTCTTTTTTTTTCCCCCCTCAAACGTGGGGTCAACGTATCTTTAATCTAGTCAAACAGAATTGTTTTTGCATCAGGAATGTTGGGAAAAGTTAATACTTCTCCTACTTCATTTGACCATTTGAAAATGTTAATGTATGAGAGTCCCCTGAAAAATGAGATTTGTCTCCTTACGAAAAAATGGACAATAACAAAAAAACATAAAGGCTCAAATTTGGTCTCCTAATAAGAAAGAGTGGCCTTAGGGGAGGATAAATACGCTGGTTGGGTATTCACCCACACAGGCAGATAGATGGGTCTCGACTTCTAGTCTGTGATTTAGGTCACAGCCCTTCAGAATTTTGCACAAAAGCATTCCAAGAGTGATATGCTGTTACTTATTCTGTATTGTCCGATAGAACCATCTGGGAGCGCATGTTCTGCTGTATTCTGTATACTGTATCTTTGTGAATGGGTGATCTTTTCTGGAGGTGGCCTTGTGGTGTTATCTAAAGTTATGTTTTTCCTCTTTTGAAAAAAAAATATTTTCAATTTTATTTAATGTGCCAACAGTTCTTTATTGGTTGAGCTTCTTTTTTCACCTCCATTTTTTGGGGGGTTTATTTTTTGTTTGTTTGTTTTGTTTGTTTTTTGCAATGCTGCCTCTCCCAAAGCATGCTGGGAGCTAAGTGATCATTATGCGTCATGTTTTGTGGGCGATTTTTTATAGCGAGCCACAAGGTGGGTGGAAGGGGGGAAAGGAGTGTGCATGGCCTTGTCACTAAGTGTTTACTGTACTTTTCTGAGTTTTGATATCAGCATTGCAAAGCCTATTGTCTTTTTCAAACGTAATTTTGACTTTGATATTCCTAACATATCTTATATAATCATTGTGCTTTCCTTTCAGTGCAATGCATTTTTAAGATACTCATACACACCCCCTCACCTGAAGGCAAGCTCGGGTGAAAATCAGCCATGATAGGAAATAATTAGCAGGATCTGAAATATCTAGGAATCTAATCTTGTACGACATGCATTTACCTGTGTGACAATGATTTGTTCCCATTTCTTCTAACTTGGGCTGCTCCATTATTATGGATCAGTCTGATTTCCAGCTACATTTCAGTTTGGAGATTAAAATGAAAATGCTATTAGGAAAAAGAAAGTCTTTACTTGTATTTATTATCTTCCATATATGTGTTTTGTTCTTATTATTTTATTTCCAGTAATTTAGTGATTTGTACCTAAATTGGTCTCGCCTTCGATAATTTTTTAACCTAAATTCTTTCAGCTCTGTTAGAAACACTGCTACCCCTCAGGCCATTCAGGGCCCCCCAAATAAAGCCAGAGAGGTGCTGGTGTGGGTGTCTGTGTTCTCCTGTGTTTCTGCAGAAGGAGAGCTCAAGAACGTGAAGCAGAACTGAGTATGAACCCAAACCAAGAAGTAACAGGCTCTCAGAATGACAAGAATCTGCTAGAGAGAATGGGGTGTATTTATTCATAAGAAATCCTCGATCTTTTGTATAATATCTCCATTATAAAACATCAAATTTGCACTTGTTTTTAAATCTGGACATCCATATTTAAACAAAGGGGCCCTCAGATGCTTAAATTTATTGTTTAATTCAAAAATATTGACATATAAATGGAAGATTATATATTATGCAATACATAGTAGTTGTACAACTGAAGCTTGTTGTTTTTCTTTATTTTAATTATTTATGTTATTTTCAGGACTCTGACTCACATCTTTAACCAAGAGTCGAATTCTAAATGACATGAATGTGAAAATTTAAAAAAATACATTCTTAAAAATAATTAATTTTTATATCGTACCTTCTGTTTCCCCACTTTCCTCCAATCTGTCCCCATCCCGTTTTTCCCCTTCATGATTTAAACAAGTTGTTCTTGAGCTGTAATCCATTGGCCTAATTTTCTGCTTTTCTATCATTTTTTGGTATTTAAGGAAGAAAAAACAACAGTAAGTGTACTGTTAGAGGGAAGTGCTATAATTTGTTATGGAACAAATTTGATACAAAATAACAACCCTTTTCCATGCAAAACCCTTTCTCTATGTAATTTCCATCTTCAGAGTATTTTGCTCTCTTTAAAGTATGAAGTGCTGAAATGTGGAGCAGATGAAGAAAAATGAAGTATAGATTTTTTAAATGGTGGAAATATTACTTTTATGCAATTTAATATTCTGTACTTTGACTGTGGCTACCAGAGCTGAAGACCCACAGGCTGGAAGTTCAACCCTGAAACAGTCACCTCACTGGTCACACATTTTTTTGGTAGTAACAGACATAACAGCCTCACGTATTCATAGCTACATCCCAATAACTACTCAAGGTGATAAGAAAAGAAAAAAAGCAAGTTTGTTTTCTAGGAGAAAGAAAAATGACCCCAAGGGAAGGGAAAAGCTCATTTAAATAGGAATATAAAATTTCTGAGAGGAAAGAGAGGTCTATTATCATGCTGAGTTTCAATGAAAATTTTCTTTTTAGTCACTTGGGTAGAATTACTTCTTTTTACCTCAGCAAAATTTAGCAGCTTTAATTGTGATGAAATGTGTAGGCAAGCTATACTAAGAAAGAGAAGAGAGTGGGGAGGGAGGAGAGCATGTTTCTGCTGAGTATTTACCAAGTAGTAAATATTTAAAAGGTGTTTTTGAAGGGAAGTCCTCATGCTTGAGGTGTGAGGCCCTCTGTCTCCCTGATGGTTTGATCTCTCACAAACCTGAATTTGTCCTATTTTATAACCCTTGGTCATTTCTCGCTCACTACCCCTACTCCTTGCCTTTTAAAGGAAATGAAAACTGAAAGAAGCTTCTAGAATGGTGAGATTCATTAGGATAGGAAGCCAAGTAGAATCCTCCTTCTGCCATTTAGGATAATCTCCTTTGACTAGAATTCTGATTTTTTTGGTGTCCAGTAGCTCTGGGGATTGTGGATAGAGTAGATGTGATACAGAAGGAAGAGAGACTTTTCTGAAAACATGAGAACAATTATGTTGGTCAGTACTTATGTTCTCTGATGATCTCTTTCCTTCATCCACATTCCTAAAACGAAATCCACTTCTCCCTATTATATTGCTGGATTGACATGATTCCCATAGTTTCGAAGTTCGAAAATGCATAACTGAACATTGAGAAGAGTGAAAAAATAAATGAATGAGAGGCGTTTTCACTCCCATTACAACTTATCCCCCTCTTTGTCTCGTGATCACACGTGGAAACAGGCAGACACACACAGACCAGTCCATCTTTCAGACATGCGAACCAGGAAGCTTAATTAAAGAATACTGATAAGGTCTCTTGTCTCTGAGGAGGTCCTGGGATGGTTGAAGGAAGACAAGAAGGAAGAGAGAAGGAGAGGCAGTTTAATAATCAGAGCAAGAAAGCAAATGGCTTCACCGACCACCAGATCCCCAAAGAAACCAATGGCAGTATCTGGAATTTTCCTTTGATGGTACTCTTAAGAGAAGAAGAAGGAATATCAAACCATTTTAAAACCATTCCAGACCATTCCATGTGCTCCAAAATAGTTCAGAGAGCTAGAGCCAGTGCTGACTGAGTATCATGCGAGGATTCGACCAGGCTGTAACTCCTTCTCCACTTTCCGCTGTGTCTGACCCCAGGGCTGCTCTTCGCCCATCGTGGTGAAGTTCGCGGATACTCAGAAGGACAAAGAGCAAAGGCGCCTCCAGCAGCAGCTCGCACAGCAGATGCAGCAGCTCAACACTGCCACCTGGGGGAACCTGACAGGGCTGGGCGGACTCACCCCACAGTACCTGGCGGTAAGTGCTGGAGAAGGCCCGTCAGCGTGTGGTCCCCAGGAGAGGGGAGCACCCCCACTGGAACACGGACAACACACCTGTCCCCTAAGGATGCTCAAGAATTCGTTTTCGGGACACTTTGCATCTCAGGAAATTGTTGAAATCAGCGTTGATGCAGAATATTTTTCCAAGTTAAATTGATTAGCATGAGGATGTGACTAATTTAATTCTTGCCTGATGTAGACTGAGCAGAGTCCCACAAGGCTGAATTTCTAACGAGTCTTTCAGAGGTATCATAAAATCCTGCAGTAGAAGGGACACAGCATGCCTGATAGATGATTATTTAACGATACTGAGGCAGCTGTGGGTAGAGAGCTCATGACCCCACAGGTTAGTCCAGTCCACACTGGGACTTCGAATGAAACCCCTTTGGACCTCCCATTAAGTGATCCTGGGCCTTCCCAGGGGAGCTCTGTTGACGAAATCAAATGTTTCTTTCTTTATTTGAGACCAAAAAGTTAGATCCTATTTCAGGCCAAATGGACCCAATTCTGTTAGCCATCCCTTAACATTTCATTGTTTCTAACTTTCACTTTCTTGTTTTTCCTTACGTTACCGGTTTCACTCTGTCAGTGTCTTCATTAAAATACAGCAACCAGAATTTAAAACAATCCCCTTAGTGAAATGGAGACAGCACAGAGCAGTGACCCCTAGTGTGGACTTGAAGATATCATCATGTAGCTTGAGAGAGTGGTGTTTCTAGTAACTATGCCACATACAAGACAGAAGGCAGCTAATTCTCCTCTAAGTTTTTATTTATTTTTACTTGAATTACTGTTAAACCAGGCTACTCTCTCCCGTTTTTCTGCTTTGGAACGTAAATGCTGGGCTTCACATTTTTTAATATAATTTCATATTGAGAGATGGGGCCTTTTATTCGTGTGTGTGTGTGTGTGTGTGTGTGTGTGTGTGTGTGTGTGGTCCTAATTCTATCACTTGACATTTTAACTGTCCCTCTCTTGATGGTCTGATCCATGAGCCTTACTTTATAGCAGCCCCTGTACTGTTCTGTAAAGTAGTCCTCCCCATGACCTTGAAAGGTAAGATCACCCTGCTTGTTGTACAGGTGAGGAAAGGGAAGGTCAAAGATCTTCCAGAACTTTACCCAAGATCATGCTGCTGGTGGTCGAGCGGGATTTCAGCCCTCTGCATGTTCTCTTTATCTTGCCGTGCTGCGACTCTGAGGATAGATATGGCTCACATTCTTTTTACCCACCCGCTCCCAGTGCCTAGTGGCGTCTGGCATATAATAGCTATTTAGCCGATGTTTGGTTAATAAAGGAGGAGCATGCTTCTCGGTCTTCATCTGAGTCATGGATTAAGCATTGACTGAGTTTGCTGTCATAGCCTCGCCATTCCTCCATCATATCCACAAAGACACCATGAGAGATTTCGTCAGATGTCTTGCTAAAATCTGCACATGCTCTGCCATATTTTTTTCTTTGTCTGTCTAGAAATTTTATGAAAAAAGAAGTGAATCTAGCTTAACAAGAATTTTGCTTTTCACAAACTTGGGCTTTTCAGTTGTTCACAGACCCTCTATTTAATTACGCATACCAGAATTTCTATCAGAGATTGATGCCAAGCTCACCTTGTCGTAATTTCTAAGAATCCAGCTTCCTGCTCCACCATTTCTGAAAACCAAGACACATGTGCCTGTCCCCGGTCTTCTGGCATATCTCCCATGCCCCACGGCTTACAGAAATCTCTGGCACATGTTTCTTTGATCTCGTCTGAAAATTACTTCTGTATCCTAAAAGAGAAGTAATCTCAGCCTCATTTATAAAAACACGTTTTTATACGCTCTTTACAACATTTTCCGCTACTGTGGGCTTCCATTCTTTCTCAGCCATGTTTGTTCTACCCCTTTCAACTGAAAGTCCATTTCTTTGAAAGAGCGCTTGCCCTTTAACGCATTCCCTACCCCTGTGTTGAGGGGTAGAGTCTGACTCTGGCTCACCAGAGAATGGTTATCAGTGGAAAGAATCCTGGGTAATAGGTTAATGACAGTCCAGGTACTTCCATTTACCTCAGTAGGTATTAATAATTCCTCAAAATATCTTCAAAGCTAACTTAATTTTACTTTAATTTTTTAAAAATATCTAATAGGAGGAGAGTATAAGGGCTTACAACTATAAGAGAATAGGAAACCCAAGAAATCAAACCAAAATAAAGGATTTCTATCTGAATGGATAATCCCTAGCTTCTCCTTCTTCCTCACTTTCTGTGTGTGTGTGTGTGTGTGTGTGTGTGTGTGTGTGTAATATACTAGATAACGTATCCCAGCGAGTCGAGAAGCATGAGCGAACATTACAGACATTTTTCTGGTGCCTGTTAATGTTAATCCCCACAAGATCATTGTACCTAAGACTTAGCTTTAATCAACCACTGATATTCCACTCGGAGCTTTTAAGTCAACTGATAGATGCCCATTTTTTGAGTCATATTTACCATGGAGTTTTCTTCCTATCGAACTGAAGAGACCTATACTTACCCAGAGGAATGACAGTGCTCTACCTTATGTTCTGCAGAGCTCCAAATAAATTCCGAAAGCTCTTTTTAAAATAGTGAATTCATCTTGTTCCTCCTAAGCACATAGTTTCCTGATAATAATTTTTTAATAATAAATTTGGTGAATCTATACTTTTTGTTATCCACGTACATTTGAATATAGGAAACAGTTACATGCTTGCCCCCACGTACAAATTATGTCTATATTGCTCTACCTGAATATCAATAAGTTTGGTCAAACACTTAGTATAGCACCTAAGTTAACCTATAATTCAACTGAATTAGGCAAATAAAGGAACACTTTAGAACGGTAGCCACATGCCTTTACCTTGTGGAACCCACTGATTCTACATGGGGGAAAAATGTGTTTTTGAAAGTTTTATGTGGGGTATGGGAGAAATGGGTGAAGGGTGTCCAAAAGTAAAAAGAAAAAAAAAAAACAATAAATATAAAATACCTCAAAAAAAAAAAAAGCTCTAGGCAAAAAGGCAGAGACCTTTTCACGGGTATGTCAGTTTCTTTTTTAAAAAATGCTAACATTTAGGGGCCGGCCCCGTGGCCTAGTGGTTGAGTTCAGCGTGCTCCACTTTGGCGGTCCGGGTTTGGTTCCCAGGCACAGACCTGTACCACTCATCAGTGGCCGTGCTATGGCGGCAACCCACATACAAAATAGAGGAAGATTGGCACGGATGCTAGCTCAGGGCGAATCTTCCTCAGCAAAAAAAAAAAGAAGAAAGAAAGAAAGATGCTACCATTTATAATGCATAGCATCAACGTACATAGCACCAGGTACCTTGAAGTTTTGACAAATGGTATGTTTCTCTCTGCTGGTGAAGACCATCTTAAAATGGGTGACCATTGTCTTGGTGGCATAGTCAGAGCTGTAACTGTACAGCTGTGAATAGATATATTTATGTCTGTAGTTACCGTGATGATTTCTCTGTCGGCCCAAGGGTCAGTGAATCCATGTGCTTCTAAGGAAGGATGAAGTAATCTGAGCTGTGAAGGAAAGTGGAAGAGACCGAGGGGATAGACCTTGATTGACAGAGATGAGTTACGGTAACTACTAGGCTACAGAGAGAGAGCATTAGTCACGCCATTTTGGTTTCAGTGGATTTAACACCTGGTTGTTAGAAAGAGTAAATTGATTAATTGTTTTAAGGCAGCAATGTTACTGAGTTTCCCCAGTGTCTGTGTATCTTAATAGAGATTAGACATTAATATGGATTTACAGCCCCAACTCTCGGAACCTTCAGTCCCTTAATAGGCAGCAGTAACCAATTACATAAATGTAAAGGAAACTGGATGTGCCCCCAATTTAATTCGGAAGTTCCTTTGTCCTCATCTTCACGTTGTTTTGACGGGACCCTTTGACGTTCATTTGCAGCTTCTGCAGCAGGCCACCTCTTCCAGCAACCTGGGTGCATTCAGTGGTATTCAGCAAATGGCTGGTAAGTCATGAAACACGCCTTTCCTTTTGACCATGCTGTTGTCTGAATCTGGGGTGGGTTCAGAGGGCAAAGAGAAGCAGGAAACAAGAAGAACAGAGAGTCATTACCAGTCCTATTTGCTTTCTGGCTTAGGTGTTAAAATTAGAGTCAGCAGCTCAGAAGCTGCTCCCCTACCTCTGGCATTTCCAAGTTATAAAATGAGGGGGCTGAGAATTCCTGCATAGTGTACTCAGTGTTTTGTTTTTAATGGGATTGGTTACTGGGGAATTTCCAACAGGATTTGTATATCCAGGGCAGCCAAAATCATCGACATCCTTCTAAAATTTTAATAACAGACAGTCAATAAAAATGTTCTGACCTCCGTAATGAAAGCCAAGATTGCAGGCCTATCTTTGATACAGTTTGCAGTCGCCTGATAACCGCAGACAATTAACAGGGTGCCTTTTTTTACGTTAGTACCCCAGTTGACAGAATTGTGCATCAGACGCTTTTATGTGAAAGAATAATCTTTGTTGTTGAGAAAAATCGAAGTGGGACTGGGTTTGAAAGCCAGCTCGTGAAGGATTTCTTTTCATAATGAGCTGTGTCAGTAGTAACTGAGGTGCAGTGATTAGCGAAAGGTCACTCCTGCTGTGTCACCTTCCAGGCTGATATCCTAACTTACCATGGGGCCAGGGGAGGCAGCCCACGCCGCCTATCGAAACACAGGTGCCATTAACCTGCCATGAGGAACAGGAAGCTTTTTCCTTGTTTGATTCCAAAAAGGTGGGGGAGAGGGCAAGGAGAACAGATTTTTGGCACATTGGATCAAGCAGAGTTTGTTTTAATCAGGGACACCCCGAGGCAATGAAATGAAACCTGAATGTGCAGAATAAAAGCCAGATTTCTTTATCTGTCACTATGAAAACTCTTTTTTTCCCGTTGTTTTTTTTCCAAATACATATCCTTGGTTTTTTTCTTATTTCACATTGAATGGATCTGGAAAGATTTTCGACGAGCATACGTAGGTTTCTGCTCACATGTGTTCTGTGATCGTCGGCCTGGTCTTCCATTGTGGCCTCACGGGCTAATGGTAACTTGTTGTCTGACAGGACATACTGGCCTAGAGTCAAAATGCTGCTGAATTATTCGTTGAGCTTTAAATTTACTGGAACCACCAGCTTGTTCTGTTGTAATACAGCTTTTGGATTATTAGAAAAAATACATGTTCAAATGAGTAGTTAAATCATTCAACAGTATCTTTCTGAATACAGTTTGGGAAGCTGGCCTTGGAGCTAAGATCACATTAAATGGTTAATTTATTTTTAGTTCTGTGAAGGGAATTGGAGACACATCAGTAAAATATTCAGGCAGTTTTCTGTGTTTTAAAAAGAGAAAACCTCCAGACTGCAAGCTCTAAAGTAAATGCTAAGATTTGTCACATCTTCTGCCGATGCAAGATTTGTTTTTCTTCTAATAGTATGGACCCACCCAGATTGGAAATTAGGGTCTTTCCTTAGAGGAAGCCTCAGGCTTTTCCACACATGGTTAAATGATGCAGAGGAGGTCACTGGGTGCGGAGGCTACCGCCGAGTTCGTCTTCCCGGGTGGACAGAGTACCCTGTCATTTTTCATTAGACTGTGTGTGCCTCTGCCTCACCAACTCCAGGTCAGGATGTTAGCATTTACATGCTCTGGTGCTCATTTAAAAACTAAGGGTATCTGGGAGTCACCTTAGAAGGTGCATGGAGCAGACGGCTAATTTAAAGGCGTTCTGTAAACCTCTGGGCTTTCCAGAATACCCCTTTCTTGAACCGTGAACGTATTAAATTCAACACACTGAGTCCACAGAGGCTGTGAGATCAAATGCTGAGCAGTCCATTATCTGCCATCACCTTGAATATTTGGAATACAAAAATGTAGATGTCAAGGCTGTGTGTGCTTGGCGATTTCTATAAAGGGTGCCATTCATTCAAATACATAATCAAGTCTCATCTTCCTAAGTGTTGGAAGCATAGTGGTTTGGGATGTTTCTTTTTTCAATAAAGTCAAGTTATGTGGCCTCCTGCTCTTTTGTCTTCTCCCAAAAGTAGAGCTTGACTTTTGTCTTTGCCAGTCATCTAGACCGGTATCATAAAGTGAACATGGTGGATTGGTAAAGAGTTCACTTCCTAGGGAAGCTCCCTCAACTCCCCAAATGTGGGAGGGCTGCCCTCTTCCTCTTTCCCCCAAAGCCCCTTACTTCCTTACCTTCCTCCCTCACCTCTCTGAAAACTCTCGAAACATTGGTGCTCCGAGAGGGCGTAGTCTGGGCTGACGAGCTCAGCCATCACGCCTCTAAGAGGTGCTCATGACTGTTTTTGAGTGGATGAGTGAATAAATTTATAAACCGACAAACCCTGGGAATGTATGTTTTGGATACATTCCCAGTGGAGCTTAAGTGAAATGCCTGGTTTTTGAATTAAGAAATTTGGCTTTAGCTTTACATCTAAGCCAAAAAACATGATATAAACTAATGACAGTATCTTCACAGATGAGTTGTCAAGGATTTGGAAATAGAGTTTGTACAGCATCAAACATGCTACAGAGTGTGTGGTACATAACACATCCGGTAGAAGCGATATGAAGGAACCCGAGATGTCATCTATCCCAGACTCCACCTGAGGTTCAAATACTTGTTGAATGATTGAGATTCTAGCATAGTTCGAGTGGGCACCTACACAATTGAAATGCAGTTTTCATGTCTTACAGCACCATATAATAAACTCCATATGTAACACTCAAGTAATCCAACACGGAAATCCATCACCAAGGAATGAAATATCATTTCTGAAACCAATATTTTGTTGTGAACAGCCCTCGAAATATAATGGTCTTTCCTTCTGGGGATTGAAGTTTATCACCAGAGTCTAAAATGTCTCATTTAAATGAGTAAAATATTTTCTATTTGAGGAGAAAATGCAATAAAGCCAAAAAAAGAAGCAGAAAAAGGAATTTTAGATGACAAGTTACTAAGTAGTTACATCAATAAAATTGAGTGAGACGTCAACTATATTTCTTTTTTCCCAAAAAAACTTATTTTCCTTTCAAACTAAAAATAATTTCAAATGTTTCACGATTTTATAAAAGGGAACTTTTGCTAAATATGGAATTTAAAAGCAGAAAATAGATTAGGAAAAATCTTTATGAGCTTATGTATACTTTTTGTGCATCCTTGAAGTTGATTGATTTATTTTGCCTCTTAAAAAATCTAATAAAAACTTGTCCATGTCTCACTCGACTGTGGTATTTGTTCCATGAATTTCTGAAATCTCAGAATCCTGGGGTCTGAATTTAGGCTCAAAGTCTGGATTTTTCCTGAAGAAGGAGGAATACGGGAAGAGTGGCTTTTTGGTCATTAATTTTGTTATAACAACTATCATCTCAAAAGACTATCATCTTAGAAAAACAAGGGTAGTGTTTTACAATTTTGTTTTTAACAGAGCTCCTTGAAATAATCATGTAGTTTATCCTCACAGCATGCCAAGGACAGAACCACCACCTTGTCACTACATTACAATTGGAAAAATGGAAGTATGAAAAGATTCACTAACGTATGTGAGCCCACAGGACCAGTAAATGGCATAATATGGATTAGGATACAGAATCCTCAAATATCACAACTTTGTGAGACAGGGACCATTGGTATCCCGTTTGACAGGTGGGGCAACTGAGGCTTAGTAGAAAGGTTAATTAACAAACTTGGCCAAAGTCACTAAGCTAGTGGCAGATCCAAATTCTAAATCCATCCCAACCCTGAGCTCTCTATTGCCCCGAAGCTTGTAAAACAGTGCTTTGTGTCTCAGCAAATTCAGGTATGTTCTGTAAACACAGTGACTCGCCTTCACAAACTGTTTAACAGGCCAAATAACAAACAAATCCAAGCCGTAGATAAGTAATGCAGAGAGAGCCCCAAAACTGTTCAAAAAGAAGCAATTCAGAGACAGTAACAGGAAAACTGCCTCCCTTCATTCTGGACATGATTTCAAATTTGTTAAGAGTGGACTGTTTTTGTTAGGGGAATTTTTTTTTTAGGATGAAGAATTGTGATTAAAGAGATGATTGAGATTATGAAGCTATGGTGGAAGAAGGGTATCTTTGCTAATAAAACAGAGGCAACTGTTTTCACTTTGCTTCTGATGTTCAATAAAGCTGTAGTAATTCTGTTTCAGGATGCTGGTCTAAATTTTAAAAATAACAATAAAATTGTAGAGTGCAAATATTTGCTTAAAACAACAACCTAATGATCCTTTCATCAATTTGAGATCTGTTCCCGGAGAAGACTGTCTGAGGGTGTCTGTGACAAGTAGAGAAGAGAGAAGACATTTGCAAAAACATTATTGAGAATCTTGCATTGAGACACTCCTGAGTTGTGAAGTGTGTGTCGTGGACCCGCAAAGATCCGGAATTCTTCCCAAGGCCGAGTCTCCCACCCTCCACTCTAGATGCTTCCTGCGAATGTGCTAATAGGCCTTATGAGAATGTTCCATAACCACCCATCTGTCACTTTTTAACAGACCTGATTGGCAAGCACTTGTAACAACTGACATCTGTTCTCGCTTATTGATATGCAGATTTATGGTAATTGCTATGAACAATAAGACACAAAATTACCTAAGGTGAACATTAAATTAAATTTTCATGCCCTTCTTCTTATAAATAATTTTTTTTAAATCTTAAGTTTCAAGTAGGCATATTGCACATCTGTTTTGTACATCATTTCTTCATTTTGAGAAGGATCTTCTTTCCCCAAGTAATGAAAGAAAAGTTGAATCTCTGTATTCTCCTCTTTTTTTTTTGTCATCTTGGCACACTGTTGGGTTTCATAAAACTTATTTAAATGTTTTGCATTTCTAGTCACCCACATTATTGCCCCTGGTTTGAGAGGTGCCCATCTGAGCTGGGTGCTTCCTGAGGTTAAAAGTGGTGGTGGTGGTTCTCAGAAAAGAGCTGTTTGCCAAGCCAGAAGCAGCTTCCCCCAC